ATAATTATATTTGTGACAAAGTAGGGAGTATTGAGGATTTTGCAAAGGATTTTGGATTCAGGATGTAAGGATTGGATAAGAGAATCCTAAAAGTGGTACTGTCCAACTGGCAGCTGTAAGACGTCAGGCCACGTTATTCATCAGCCATGTTTGCTTGCATTAATTAGAAGAATGAACCCATTATTAATTATGCTTAACTAAATGTACTAATATTAAGCAACTTCCAGGAAAGAGCTTCAAGAACAAAATGGAAATTTCTCCAGTTTATCCCGAGATTTTCGCGTTTTATTGGACTGTACTTCTGCCTTGACGTTTGGTGATACTGTTGGGATTATTATCCACATATAACAGTCATTACTGTTTTATTCCGTAAGGTTAATACTTTTGATTTTTTATAAATCTCATTTTCGACTAGGATATATTACGAATAGGTTAATAATTTAAATTTAAAATAATTAAAAAAGAAAGTCAATAATTTGTTTTTAACTGCTGTTTAAGTATTTGTATTACTCCTTCTAAACGAGTTTTTTCTTCCATTTAACAAAATTATTTTAAATAGAGTTTACTTAAATGTTGTCAAGTTTAATTACATAGCTCATTTATAAATTATCATTCACTTCTTTTATAGTCATCTTTGAATTGGCATTAATAATAGCATGTCGTAGTGTAAATACTTGTCGGTTGATTAAATTATAAAGTGAATAGAAGACTAGGGTTTATTCACTACTTATTCCTCATTCACTGCTTCAATCGGGAAAACTAAACAAAGAAACTAATTTTGTTTTATAATATTTATGATATTTACAACTTTATTAGAGATAAAAATGCATTAAGTAAATGTGAACACAAGAACATAATAACATGAAACAAATTATTGAGAAATTATCCACTGATAGCATTCTAAAAATGTATTTATAACAGGAGACCTCGAAGCCATCTTCTTTTCAGACTCCTCGGAGTGTTATCTGAGATCGAGGAGGAAGCAAGATTAGAAACGAGGGGGTTTGGATAGTTTTGAAGTTTGTTATGGAAGGATAGTTATCTGGATTGGGCCAAGTAAGAAACATAAGGTGATTAAGTAAGGAACATTAATGAAGGATTTTGGATTGTAAGGATTGGATACGAGAGCAAATCGATGGCTTAGTGGTGCCCCAAAGTTCAACTCCGTAGGTCTAAATAGGCGTTATTGTAGTCAAGCATATGAGTGTTTTTAACTGGAAGCTTAGAGCGTTTGTCTAGTAAGTGCTTTAGTAGTCGGAAAAGTCGAGCGGTTTCTTGTCCTTTCAGTCTGGTATGAGGATTCCATATTAGACGTTTACTCAAGTGGAGTCCAAGGCATCTGATTTGTTCAACGGTTATAAGTGTCGTATTATTAAAGGATACTGAAAGACAGGAGGTCATAGGTTTACGGCGAAGGGTAAAAGTGATTTGATGGGATTTATTAAAATTTATTTTAGTCCTCCAGTTTTGACAGCATTCTTCAAGGTTTGTAATGTGAGATTGAAGAGTTTAGGATGAAATGGTTGGGTCATTACTAACGGATAGGACACGTGTTTCACCGGTATACATGGTAATGACAGTGTTAGGATGGGTTGGGATGTCTGCTGTATAAACTGTGTAAAGGATAGCACCAAGTATACTACTTTGAGGAATACCAGTAGACTTGGAAAAGAGGGATGAATTAACATTATTGTGATTTACTTTAAAGTATCTATCAGCTAGGTAGGGACGGATAATGAGGAAGTATGTAGGATGTAGGAATTTACGGAGTTTGTAAAGCCCTCTCGGCTGCCAGACTCGATCAAAAGCCTGTTCTATGTTGAGAAAGATACCCGTGCAATACATTCCGCGCTCCAATGCAGAGGATACAACAACCACCACACGATGACGTTACTGGATATTGGAATGGAATCTACGGAATCCAAATTGGTGATCTGGGATAATGTGGTTGTATTCTAGGATAGAATACAGGCGTTTTAGGAGTTTTTCTAGGGTTTTGCCCAGAATGAGTAAAATGGAGGTAGGACGAAAAGAGGATGGGCATTATGGTGGCTTTCATGTGTCATTGCCAGGCCTCATGAAAATGTGGATCACAGTACAGCATTATATGTATAAGTAAGGAATAGAAAGGCTTTCCGAGGAAGCAGTTTTAGAATCTCGCATGTAATTAAATCGTGTCCAGGAGCTTTGGAGGAAGGTAACCTTTGAATGATCTTGGATATTTCTGAAGGATGAAAGGCTTTAGGTGGAAGAGATATTTGGAGTGGTATATCTAGAGCTGATTCAATACATTCAAGGTTATTTGGGTTAAGAAAATCGGGATGTGAATTAAAGATTTTAAAGAGGCGGGGAGCAAATATTTGGGATTTTTCTTTGTCGGATTTGGACCAGATTTGACTTCCGGTAATAAATGGAAAATTACAGTATTTAAATTTCAGGAGCCTTTTAGTGGTCGTCCAATCTGTCGGTAGTTGTAAGTCATTCAGTAAAATTTAGTAAATTTTGAATTTCTATTTTCTCATTTCTGATTTTAGTTTGTTAGTCAGTAGGGTATAATGAGTTTTATCTGTTGGACATCTAGTTCTATGTCACTTCTATCTTTTCTCTCCGTTTTTCCTTTGATAAGATCCGAATATTCAATGGCAAGTTATTCTTTTGTGAATTGTCAATCTTACAGATAAATGTGTTATTATTTATACTGTCTTTTATTGATGTTCTAAGTTTCTGTATGGCACCATTAATGTTTTCTTTCGTCTTTAGAGGAATTTGTAAGTCTTGTTCGTTTGCCAAATCTACCTAATGTTACAAATGGCATTGTTACAATTACCATTCGAATAAACAATAGTCTGGAAAATCTTTAGCACCATTTAAAGCTAGAGGAGAAAGAATACCTGAAAGAAAAAATGTAGAGCTGTACAATGTTAATATTGACTAAGTACCTTATTTTTTGGTTTGATACTCAGCGTTAATTATGAACGGTGCTCAAATAAATAGATTCATAAAAAGAATTTAAAAACTATTGCCATTTGGTTCTAAAAATTAATAACTATTTTTATATTAAATGGTGCCAGCAATCACATGTGGCATTATAGACTTTGTACATCTGTTGTCCCCTTAATCAGTCTTCTCCACCTCTGCCTATCTTGGGCTATTTATTTCCTGTTATTTGCATCTTTATTGATTCGATCTATCCATCTGCTTTTTGGCCTTCCATGTGGTCTTTTGCCTACCATGAAGGCACTCATTTTCGTGTAACTACATGCTCCGCACTTCTCAATTGTCTTCATATTATGAGATATTGATTGATCAGATTCTGTAAGCAGTTCTTGATTGGTCTTTCTCTTCCATGTGTTAGTACTCTGACCCTAGATAGCTCCAGTAATCGTGGGAAGGATTTTTCTCTGAAATATCTCAATACTTTTTTCTAGGGGACTTGTTAGTGTCCAGGGCACACATCGATATATGATAACTGGCTTTATCATAACATTGTACACCCTTGTGTTAAGATTTCTTTAAATTATTTGGAATTTTAATAGCTCTGTTTCAACATCACGTTTTCATTAACATTTCACCAAATACTTATAATATCAAGTAATACTTATAATATCATCAAATGATTGAGCCATAATTTCGATCAATCCATTCGAACCTTAAGTGGCTAAAAGTAAGATAATTCCCACAAAAAGTTTTGACGAAAATAAACCTTATGTGGATATATGTCGATAAAACGTCATAATCACGGAAATCTGATCTGTATTTCTATAGACTGTATCCCCGAATTGCCTCTAACGATTAGGTGTGTGCTCGAGAAAAAGAATAAAATATCTTCACTGTATCCACTCACACGAGTATCCAAGCGCTTTGGGTGAAAAGTCTAACACAATCATTTTTGCTGTATCTGCGGTAATTTTGGTCAGAATCGAATTTTGATTTATTCTTATCTTTTTGTTTGTATACTTTAGGAGAGTTCTCTAGACACTTTAATTAATCTCTTTAATTAGCAACTGCAATATTACAGGAGATGTATAGTTTCTGATTATTTGAGAAACTAATAAGATGTGAACTGGTTTCTATGAGAACTAGCCCATCATTATATAATATATAGTGTAATATATATATATATATATATATTATCATGATCTTAAGAAATAATACAATTTTTTAATTCCTTACAAAACGAAAATAAAATCATCGAAATAAGGCCATTATTATCAAAATTATTCGACTTTGTTCAAGTTTTTTGAGTTATCATTTTTAGCAAAGAATCATTTTAATCGACCAAAAAAAGAAAATTAATTCTTCACTCTTATAATATGTTGCATTTACTTATATACATACAATATTGGTATTCGTTTTATAAACAATATACTATGGATATTATTCGCACGGTGCAGATAGTAAATTGTATTAAAAAAGATGGCTTATATATTCATCCAAGATATTTTCTTAATTTTAGCCTAACTATTACCAATTAAAAAATACACGGATGGTAATAACTTAGAGAATTAAAATTTAATTCAACAAAGAATATACCTGAATGTACAATCGCCTTTAAACTTGGCTGAGACAGAATGCCATTTTTTTCATATGAATTATTTATTCTAGAGGGAATGCTTAGTTAAATATTAAAAGATAAATGATGTGAAAAATAAATATAAAACAGTTAAGCCATTGAATAAATATGTGGTACATTTGATGAAAGCCTTACCAAATATAGTGAAAGAATATTTGTAGATGTCTCTCTATCCTACGAGGAACATTAAATATTCAGAAAATATCCTTTAAGGTATTTCTATATTTAGTAAAATTATTGATAATAACAGCACTTGTCAAATATGACTCCGGCCGAACATTTGACCCCAGGACGAACGAACTTATGAAATTTCTGTGTGTGCCCGCGTGAAAGGACGACAGAAAGTGGGGGTGGCTTCAGCCCTGGTATATAAGACAGTCGGATCATCCTTCTACGTCCAACAGTGAACCATCAGAGGATAACCAACATGAATTCCGTAAGTAACGGCAGTCTGAGGGGGGATAACATATTTCGTTCACAGGATATTGGTTTATTTTTCAGGTTCTCATCGTTCTGTCGACCTTCGATTTACAAGAATTGGTTGGAACTTGATGAATGATAAATTACGTTATCTGATTCATAAATTCAATGGATATGGAATTTATTTGTTTTTGTATGTTTAGAGAATCATCGGTCAGTTTATAAAACATACTCAACAGAATCTTATCGAAAACTAGTTCATTTTTAATAATTAACGATTTTTTAAAGAAACTATCAAAATAATAGTAATAAAAATTGATAAATTTTAAGCTGTTCCTCTGTGAGGTTAGTTAATATTCACTATAACTAGTAAATAATTGCCAATACCTTCGTAGCATTGCAATTAATCAAGATTTCCTTATTTAAATAACGGTTAGCCACTAAATTACTTTATTCGGCATAGCAGGATTTGGTTTTTAGTTTCTTATTAATAACTATTTTATTTATTTCGTTAATTTCTTTTAATATAATTTTTTATTTCCGTTTTAATCAACATAACATCGATTGATATATTGAGTAAAAAATTGATATATTTTTAGTTTAAATGTTCTTTTTTGATTTTATTTATTATATAATTTAACTATATATAGATTCTGTTTGTTATTTATTTTTTAAAACTGATATAACAGCAATTCATAATTTTCCTTATTGATAATATTTTGTTTATTATTAATTCAATGCTCGGGATTATTTATATTGTTTTCTGTTGTAGAAATGTAACTGTTTTAGTGCCTTTTTTCACAGTCACAACTTGTATTGAGTAATTACTGCAAGGGATGCTGCCAAATATTCACCATTATATAGTTTCTTCAAAATAATATAGATTTAATGTATGATAGTAACACATGCATATTTTTTAATTGAAGCTCAATCAACAGACCCTTAAAATCTCAGAAATTTTCCAAAATGGTAGAATAGTACTGTAATAATTAAACTATACATTAATCAAGACTTATTATCTCATGAGCGCTACGTTCGAGACTTGAATGGAGGCATTGGTCACTATGAAGCATTTAAAACTTGTATAGTCGCAAGTTCTGTAGATTAATACAGTTCCAACATTTAGAGATGTTTTTTTATAATTTGGATAAAATTCCATTACAAAATACAATTGATTTTTACATCTTGTGATAGAGTATGAAAATATAGTATAACGAAGGTGTAAAATTACGGTATACACCAGATCTTAAACAAAATATATTTTCTAATATCCTGTATATTTTTATAAAGATATATTATCATATATTTAGCATATTTTGCACTTCAAATATTTTTTCCTTCACTTTTTTTATCTTGTAGTAGGATGAATGCCACAATGTATATATTAATATCTAATTTATTTGTAGCTTCATATGCAGAATTAACTAATCTTAAGTTAAAGTTACTACTTCGACTTTAAACCTTTAAACTAATTCTTTTTCTTAATATTAGACTTTTGCAGTATATCGAATGCATGCATTTTTTTCTCGTGAATTTTGGCATCATCAGTGAATGAATGAATCGTACGAGCTAAAATTTGATATGTAGAATGTAATTTTTTTTAGGTAAAATGTTACCGAAAAAGTTTTAGCGAATTTCAACTAAATTTCCAGTTAATTAGGCGATTATAGATTTTCGAGGTGTTTAATTCGATTTATTATTAGAAAAGTGCCTTTTGAAGAACTCAACTATTTTCTTTCATTCATGTCATTTTTTGTAAATTTATATTTTATGGTTTAGCTAAAGTCGATCTTTCTAAGTCGATAGTTAAGGGTTTTGAAAATTTAAATATAAATTTATTTCACATTGAAGAACTAAATTTTGTAAACATTAAAATTTTATCTCTCACTCTTCATTTTGCGCCTTTTTCTCGGGTTCTAAGCTTTTGCTATGCACATTTTTACAGCTCTTCCAACTGGTATAGGTTGTTGAAAATTTATATGTTAATATTTTGGTGTTGAAAAAGCTCTTTTTGGAGACTTTATTCGTCTCTTTTTGTTGAATGAAATTCTGAAATAACATTTAAACTGTTCACAAACAAAACATAAGAAAAACAATCATTAGTGCACTCAGAAATTTTATTTATATTTTTAAGGTTACTAATAATCAACGAATAACATTTATTTGTCTCTGACTCCTAACCAAAAAGAAAAAAAAAACAACGTGGCCTTAATGATATTGATTGGAAGCTAATTTTTTGTTTTGTTTATATTTAATTTGTATATATTGATTGTATACTTATTAATATTGAAATCATGAATTACAATTTTTTCTTATAACGTTTACGTTACTATATTACATTGTTCACAATACACAACATGAAGATAGTTTATTTCCGTAAGTTGTGTAACAGTTAAGGTAATATGCTGCAAGATTGACATAACGTATTTAGTTCCCGAAAATGAACTACTTAAAAACAAACCATTTAGACAGATGGCAAGAACCCATCTCCAAGAGCTTTGGAAATGACATTCCTCAGTGGTTATCTAAGCACTTACCTGGCTATCTCAACTTGCTGAATAAAAATAGAGACTCAAGTAACATTGGGAATTCCCATTTACGGGATAAAAACTTTTAGCTTATTCTAAATTGCGGAACTATCCCTGGGGTTATCAAGTTTCTGTCTAAAACAACAGCTGACTCAACATAGGCATTACCTAATAGTATTTTAGGTATTTTGTAAAACGTAAATGTTACTTTTGCCAAAAATAAGTAGTTTTATTGATACCAAGTTTTATTGCAGGTATTTTGTATCTTGCTGGCAGCGGTGTGCTCCCTCTGCGCCGCACAGAGAGGCCAAGTCTACAACAACCCCAACGAGATCCCAATCATATCCTATGTCAACGACAACAACTTTGACGGATCCTACAGATACAGGTTTATTTAATTATTCAATCCATCATTCAATTAATAGTTCATATTGCGTTAGCATGAATATATTATTATTTAGTTATTTTCATATTTATTCCTCCTAGTGTTGCCCAAAATCGGGGTTGTCTTGCACTTTGCAAGACCAAGACCAAGACCGCCAATCTGTTGCCAGACCAAGACTGAAAAAAAAAAATCTATTTCTTGAATACGAATCGAGGCAAAATAGTTACTAATATTTGACAATTTTTGTTGCTATATGCAAGTAATTAGTGAAACTAATATACTTTTGCATTCAACTCTTTTAATTTTTCATTCAGATTTAGTTAGGTTTCTTCTATATAAAAAAGTACAGTAATATTTCTCTAGTTATAAGCTAATAGGTAACTGCAAGACTCGTCTTAGTCTCTGATCTGGGCAACACTGATTCCTCCAAATTGTGCTATTGTACATAACACCCATGATCGTAACTGAATAAATAAATATTAATTGGTTTCTTCAGTATAAACTCTAAGAAACTTAATATTTTGTTTATAACAATATTTTACGGGCACCTAATATATTTACACATTTAATACCCCCTTGATATTAATTCAGGTTATAACAATATAAATTGAACTTATCTCTGCATTAAAAATTGGCCGTATTCTCATTTACTAGTTTTTCAAGTATAAGAGAGTTTTTGTGTTCAAGTGTAAGAGAGTTGATATGTGGCTGCTGCGTATTTTATACATATATTTATACCTAATTATATTTAAACCTAATCTTTCACAAACTTTCAAGTATTTATGATTCATTAAAATCTTTCAATCACGGGCTATGATGGTAGGCTACAAGCGACAGGTTGAGTATTCGATTCCCTATAATGATTTCTCTAAGAAAATTGATCTGAATTGTGGTGGACTCTCTTTCTCTCATTCATGCGCATTAAAAAAAATCAACTAAATAATGATAAATCGGAAAACGTAACATGTATAATACCTCGAATAAATATCTACCGTCCAATTTATATAAACAACAACCAAACACCTGAAGCGTTATATTGAACTTACATTTGACAGGAACATGTCCCAAACAAAAGTACTTAATTAACTGACTAAAAAATATTTACATATTGTGACTTACAACAGTCATTGTTGACCGAAGCATGAAGACATTTTACTAAAAATTTATTACTAATTTACACGGAAATAGCAACAGACTAATAACATTGCCTAAATAAAAAGAGGATACTAAAAAGGTACTGGATGAAAAATCTCCTTCCTTTGCCAACCGAAGTAATTTATATAATGCAAGGAAGATGTGTTGTTTGGTATTATCTTTTTCTGTACGAGTTTTACTATTTTCTGAAGTGCTTAATCCATTTCCTGTTTGCGAAAAGTTTGTTTACAATGAAAATTCTACTTTGAGAGAAACAAACATTTAACTATAATTTTTCACCTTTTCTAAATAATTTGACAAATTGACAGTTGACATCGGTAGAAATTTGTCTTTCAAGCCGCTCATTTCTTTTATAAATAAGTCAACCTGTTCTTTTCTAAAAAAAGTATTAATGCGGAATTTAGTCACAATAAATATGGACGTAATTCTGTAAACATAATAAATTTTCAATTTAGCGATAATTATTTTACCTGACTCCGGCAGGCGCGTGAGGTATACCAAACAACGTAGCAAGGATAAAACAATTCAGTGTCCAAGCAAACGGTTAAACCTAGTTTTAATGATTATTTTTCCAAATATTCTACTTACAATTAATTAAATTTTATTCTCAGCGCTTCACTCTAATGTCACCTCAATGGTCACAACAATAAAAATTCTTTTTACATAATCAAGAGATTTTTATAATGATTTTGTACTTTTATTTTGCCCATTGTTGAATTATAGGAAAATTTTCTTAATTATTACAACTAATTCGTTTGATTCTTCCCAGTTATGAGACCGGCAACGGGATTTCAGCTTCGGAGGAAGGCTTCCTGAAGAACCCCGGACAGAAGGATCTGGAAGCGCAGACAGCCCGCGGTACCTACACCTACACAGCTCCTGATGGCCAGGTTATCACCGTCAACTGGTACGCTGATGAGACAGGCTTCCATGCTGATGGAGCTCACTTACCCACACCTCCTCCAGTCCCAGGAGTCGCCCCACAACAACCCTTCCCAAGGGGGAAATGATCTGAATCTATGTATATTTATTTATTGTACATATGTCCTTTCTATTTTTGTATAAATACTTTCTGAAAGCTCACTTTTCATTTTATTTTTTAATTATCCCCAAACAATGAGTAAATCCGGGATATTTAAGGATTGATATGATCAATAATAATATACCGATAACTTTAAGCTTTCGTGACTATCACAGATCCTTAGTGAATAACAGGTAAGAAAAAAAATTATATTGAAGAATTGATTTTTTTTTTGTATTTTCGAGACATGTATTTATAAAGTTTCCTGAAAATTCTTAGGAGTTCCATTTTACATTGATGCATTTTAATTTTAAACTTGCATTTATTTTTTATCATTACACATCATTTTAATTGTGATTCCAAAGCATCTTGCTTCAAAAAGCAAGGTTGGATCAGATTTTTGATGTATTAATTTAATAAATTAAACAGAATAGTTAAGTTTTAGACGTATTTAGGTGTTAATGACATAATTTTACATATGTTGGGTATTTATTGCAAGATTTTGCAAATTTTGGCTGAAATTTTTTCCGGATTTTTACCGTAAGAAGATGCTGATGATATCACATACTGTTCATCAGCTCCGTTTAATACTTATTCTAAATTATTGATCACTGTCACAGCTGTATTTGTTAGAACTACCATGGAGATAAAAACGGTTCCTTTTTCTCATTTTAGTTTTCCACTCTCATTATTAATATTTTCCATACTCGCCTTTGAGATAATAATATCTATGAATAATATAAATTTATTCATGAATAAATGAAGAACTGAATTTTGGTAGTTTACAATTTTGTCTCTTCATTTTGCGCCTTTTGCTCTTTTGCCAAAGACTATGCTATGTGCACTTTTACAGCTCTTCTAAATGATATAGGATGTTGATAATTTATATATTAATTAATTTGAAGTATAGAGGAAAAAAAGTTCTTTGACTACGTAATTTTCATTTTTATCACACAAAATTAAAAACTTAATCATACAACTAAAATTTAATGTTTATTTTTATTAATTGAAAATTAATACATCCGCCAAATTGAAGGGCATTAATATTATGGCTATATTAATCATTCACACGATATGTACATAGAAATGATAACTAAAATAGAGAAAACAAAGAAATAGAAATGAAGAAAATAAAATAAGAAAATTAATATGCAAATGAAAAATAAAATAAAACATTAGACAGAAACTAAATGAAACTAAAATAGAGAAAACTCTTTCACACCTATATACAATATTTACATTCGCCGATCCCAGTGCTTCTCTCCCAGCCGCCTCACTGCTATTGGAAGCCAGTGGAGAAGACTGATGAAGGGCACTAGAGCTACAGACGCTCAGGACCTGAGTGGAGAATCTGGCCATTGTCAGAACTTTCAGAACCATACATATTTACAAAAAGTCGTGAGGCCAGTGCCATTTTAATTAATCTTTATCTAGAAGAAAGCCAAGATACCGGACTGTGTTAGAGAGAGGAAGTTGTATGGATTTGAAGTAGACTGGTGGACAGGACTTTTCACCGAAGGGTAAAAGTGATATGCTTCGATTTGGTTTCATTTATTTAGATGCGCCACTTATTACACCAGTGTTCAATAATAGAAAGGTAACTTTGTAGGTTTAAGTTTCAGGATCTTAATTGAAAGATAGTATGGCTGTGTCATCAGCGAATGATGCCAAAAGGGTTTCGGGATAAGTAGGAATATCACCGGATGAATTCGGGACATCATTTGAACGTTTGTTTTGTTATCGTCTGAATCGTTTGATTTGGAGTAATCTCTAGTTAGTATCGCAGACGCTCCAAATTGTCTTCAGCGAACAATGTATACAATATGTATAAAAGTTATATGGATCGAAAACTTAAGCATACAAACAAATCAATCAAAAGCATTGTACGAATTATTGATGAAGCGCCGTTGTATATAATAAAAATGATTTGCTATACAAAGAATTGAACTTTCATAAGCAAAGGTACTCCCGATTTTTAAACCGCAAATAAAGCGATAATATATCAAGTATGTATTTAAAATAAAAGGATCTATTTTTTAATATATTAAAATATAGACCGATTAAAGAATATAAGACATAAATATTATCTTTCAAGTGATATGCCTAATAATGTTTACATAAAATTAAAGATATGATGGAAAATTATATACGTTATATATAATAATGGCAATATGAAGGGTATTTTATTTACATTTTACATAGTTTTTATTAAAGTCTAAAACCTCTAAAGATTCCCACAATTTAATAAAAAATATAAAAGGTGAGCAGAATGGGGTAGTTAATGTATTTTATCTTTAAATATTTTAAATCCTTATTTCAACAAATATTATATAACATGTTCTACCAGTAAGGTATTAATTTTTTTAAAAATGTATTCTAATGTATTTTGGCATTAAGTGAATGTACAAAATAAATAAATAAGATATAACTAAACTGGCTTTGCAAGAAAAACATTATAGTTCATTGAAGTAAGTTCTAGATGTTACTTCAATGAACTGATATCTATACCGATTAGAATTAAAATTATCAATGATAGAGATAATACTCGTTCTTCAACAAAAGGATAACTTCATTCCCGACAGACAGAGCCAAATATACAAGATGTCTCAGTTTAAAATATTTTTCGAAAATATAGTAACCATCAAAAACCATTAACAGTGCTGGTTTGAAGCTAGATAAAAAGTTCAGGATTTCCATGTAATAAACTTAAATAAACTTCATTAGACCTATTTCATTACCAGTTTTATGTTCAGGTTTCTTGGGCAAACCAAAGTCGGTAATAATGACTTATGAATGTCAATATGTCTAAAGAAATCAAAGATGAAAAATATACACTGTTTTTATAAATAAAGAATATATTATTAAATCATTTTAGTTAATAAATAGAGATATCTTCAGCAATGAAAAAACTGAAAGTGTTGCTACTAATATATGAAATCATACAAAAAAAAAAAAAGAGACAATTACAATGAAATAATAATAATAACAACAGCTAAAAGTTGAGAACAATTACATCGAATCTCTTAAAATAAAAATGAAAAAATCGCAAAATTTATAGTTTTCATTAAATAAATAAAAATTATAGCCAGTGGAACTAAGCCAGTGGCTTAGTGAAATTACCATTACATGGCGGATAAACACAACAAATTTGATCTGAATGTATCTTAGGGTATATTAATAAATATTAATCTAAGAACTCTTACAAATAATATAAAAGAAAATCTTTAATTAAATATACTGAATTCTATTGAATGAATAGAATATGTTTGATTTATTATTTTTCATAATGAATTTTTATGAACGATTAAAAAAAGAAAAGTTAAACCACTATCAAAATTAGAGCTTTCCCATTTCAAAGTAAGCAGCATCCATAAATTTCTTCCTGTACCACTGCAACCCATGAAGGGTTCAGTATTATTTATGATAAGGACTGTTTCAAGGACAATGGTTGTGTAGGGAGGGGATCTGACCAGGATCACGCTCAACCGCTAGGTTTTCAGCCTTAATTAATTATTTTAATGAAGGATACCCGCTTTGTACAGGCTGGGTGTGCCTCAAGGTCTCCATACCCCAGGATCGTACCGCGGCGATGAAACAGAAATTGAATTTTTCAAAATATATATTCACCCTAGGTTTTTTTCCTAGCCCATAGAGTCAATTTCTTATTGGTTAGGTACAAAATTCCCTGGCCACCGTATAATGATCCTAGGAAAACGACATTACCATTCGCGTAATATATTCTGCTTGAATCTTTTTGTATTTATATATTTAAAATCTATTCCTGAATAAAAACTACAAACAATTTATGATGAGTAGAAAATTTCATTTGTAAATGTCTCAAAAACTATAAATTGTTGGTTATTTTTATTAGGAAACGTTTCAATAATAATTACTTTTCGTAAAAGAAAAAAAAAATTGTCGATATCATTCTACTCCCTTATGTATTACATAAGGCTGGTAATAATTTAATGCTTAACGTCGATGTATTTTAGTATATTTTCCTAAATATGTACACTACTCTAAGTTAAGTTTGCGATATTCTACTTAGTTGACATATATCTGTGGTTGAAAATAAACAGGAAAATAGATTCTGTAAAAAAAGTGTCTTTTATCATACCAAACATATTTTTTTTTGGAAATTTCAAAGGGCTCTTGTGTTTCTTTGTACATTTATTTATTCTTCTAGTAAGATCCAATTGGAAGGACATTCTCTATAAAAATGACAAATAGTTTTTGGTATGTTTTTAATGTGTTAAATTTTAATAATTTTTTTTTTAAATTTAAATTTGAATAATATAATATAATTATAAGGTGAAACTAAAACGTTAACTTTAATAATAACACTATCATTTGACATACACTGCTCAATATCTATGATAAATATTGATATATAAATACTTGAGCAGCCTCTAGTGGGAGGATGCTGTACTCAATTGAAGCAATAGTAGTAGGCTCCCTATCCGATAGGTAGCACTGTCCAACTTAATCTTGTTTATCTTCTGAGACCAAACTTTATAAAACCCATATTTAGTTTGCATGCATTTTTTTTTTTTTTTTTTTAGTAGAGGACCAGGTATCTATACGAACTCGATCCAATTAGAAAAAAAAATATCCAGCATATTTTTACAGATTTAGAGATAAATGAAAATTTGTTGAAAATAATTTGTCATTAAAAACCAAAATACAACATTGGGAACGAAATTACATATTTCCAACATAGTTTCATTTTCTACGATTAAAACAATATCAAATTAATGAAATTACGATAATCATATTTATTTAAAGTTTTAATAAGGAATAAGGAATTTTTCAATTACCGACCTTCTTATCCCTTCCCAAGACTGATTACAACTTATATCTTTTAGGGAACACACAGAGAGAATTTTCTAGACTGAACTATCCCAAATGACTCATCTTTCTTAACATACTTTTATTAACTTTAGTAGTTTCACTGTACTGCTTTCTTCTTTATTGAAAGTGATACGAAAA